CACCTGTTGGCACCCCAATTTCCTCCTCTTATGTTGTACGAAAGGTCGCTATGAGTCGGAGCGACTCAGCTGCACCTAAAGCCACCACCAAAGGGGATGAGAACTGCGCCTGCGCGGTTTTTGGGAGGACTCGACGCGCCAATGCATGTAAAGCAGCGGTTTTAGCCCAGTGCGTGAGGCCTAGTAAATGCTCTCGAACGGTATATGTTGTCAATCATCATTAAACGTGAGGGTGGGCAAGGGAGGGTGCCCGAAGACCCCATTCGGAGATGGGCCCCAAGCTGCCGGGGAGATCAGGACAGCTGGTGGTGAGGCCTCACGCTGGGGAGTGGGAGAAGGAGGCCACAGGGCCCCTGAGCACCGCCCGTCCGCCCCAGGTATTCTCCATCGCGGTCTTCGGGCCCATCATCAACGAGGGCTACGTGAACACCGACAGCGGCCCCGAGCTGCGCTGTGTCTTCAACGGTAACGCGGGCGCCTGCCGCTTCGGCGTCGCACTCGGCCTAGGCGCCTTCATCGCCTGTGCCGCCTTCCTGCTGCTCGATGCGCGCTTCCAGCAGATCAGCAGCGTCCGCGACCGCCGCCGCGCGGTGCTGCTCGACCTGGGCTTCTCAGGTGGGCGGGGCCAAGGGAAGGGCGGGCCTGGTGCGGAAGCCCAGTTAGACTCTCTAGAGGACTGGGCCAGGCCCAGAGGGCGGGACCTGAAGGAGATGGTTCTAGAAGAGGGTGAGGCCAGGGGAGGGCGGAGCTGGGTCGGAGACCTAGAGAGGAGTCTCCAGGGTCAGAGGGAGGCCAGTCCTGTGCGGCCCGAGGCCTCCCGTGCGGCCCGATGCCTCTTCATGGGCGGGGCGGGGCCGGCGGCGGGGCGGGGCCGCCCAGCCCGCACACCTGGCGCTGGATGTGAAGACTCCCCTGAGGTCTCCGGCACCCTGACCCGCGCTGCCTCGCCGGCTACAGGGTTTTGGTCTTTCCTGTGGTTCGTGGGCTTCTGCTTTCTCACCAACCAGTGGCAGCGCACGGCTCCCGGGCCTGGTACCGAGCAGGCGGGGGACGCGGCCCGGGCCGCCATCGCCTTCAGTTTCTTCTCCATCCTCAGCTGGGTGAGTGCGCAGCTGCAGGCGGGTGGGTTGGGGGCGGGTGGCCCCGCCCCGCTGACCACTGGCGCCCCCTCAGGTGGCGCTCACCGTGAAGGCCCTGCAGCGGTTCCGTCTAGGCACCGACATGTCTCTCTTCGCCACCGAGCAGCTGGGCGCCACGGCGGGCCAGGCCTACCCCGGCTACCCGGTGGGCAGCGGCGTGGAAGGCACGGAGACCTACCAGAGCCCGCCCTTTACCGAGACCCTGGACACCAGCCCCAAAGGATACCAAGTGCCCGCCTACTAGTGACCGGCGGGTGCAGACCAGGGCTCAAAGGCTACCCCACAAACGCAGGCCCAGAGGCCTCCTGGGACCTCCCTCGGGTCCTCCTGGCCCAGTGCCAGGGACGGGGTGGCCAGTGTGGGCCGACCCGGGCCAGGAGGAGGTGGCCCCTGGGGTGCCTGGGCTGTCCCTCCCCAAGTTCCTTCAGCTCCCGACCCTGGATCTAAGGTCCTGAGAGGGTCAGCAGGCCCAGGGCATGTATCTTCCATCCACAAGGGAGCAGGTTCGGGACCTACTCCCCTCTTGGGCCAACCAGCCAGCCTGGAGCCCGGGGAGGGCCAGCTGCCCTCCACAGCAGGGGCAGAGACACGGCCCATTGCCACCCCCCACCGTGTAGCCTCGGGACTGTGGCCACTACCCCCGAGGAGGGTCAGGCCTGCCCTTGCCTCTGTAGTAGTGGGTTCTCCCCTAGGGCAGCATGCTCAGTCCAGAGCACGCTTCCATATAGTCACACAGGCTCGTAGAACAGCCCCAGCCCTGTCGGTGTTGTGATTGTGGTCAGATATTCAGGTTCCCCTTAGTTCCCACCTGTCTGTGGTCCCCCTTCCTACCTTGGCCCATGCCACTGCCCACGTGTGGGCAGTTCTGGCCCAGAAGGCACCACATGGCCATAGGCCTGGTGGTACTAGCCCTTTCTCAGCCCAGGGGAGGTACAGGACGTGTGGAAGCCTGTCAAGATAAGCCCTGTCCTGTGGAGAAGGGTCTAGGAGGTTCCATCTGCCCATTGTGTCCATGGGGACAGCTATCTCATGCTAACGCCTTTATCTTGACTTCCTGGACCGTCCCCCACCCTGCACCCCTGTTGTGAGGCCATCCCCAGGCTGGGGGTCCCCACACATAGCTGACTACTCATGCATTGCTTGAAGCTGGCTTTTCACATTATCTCGATAGACCAAACGCGCGGCTACCACCTTTCATTCCTGCAGACAGACACCTGCCTCCGGGGTTGGGTGGAGTGACAGCCCTGTACTCTGTAGCCTAGGCCAATCACGTGTGGTTACGTCAGTGAACATGTTTACAACTTTTGTATATACAGACCTATCTCCTGCCACGTCTGAAAGAACACTCTGTGGTTATCTTCAGTGTCTCCTGTCCCAGTGGCACCTTCTTTACAATAAAGACTGGAAATGAGTTTACTGTGTCCTGGATGCTCCTGCAATCCTTTCTGCCCCTTCCCGCTGGGCACAGGGGGTGGGGCCCTAGGAGCGGAACCTGGGGAGGGGTCAGGGAGGTGGAGGCGAGGTTGACCCTCAGCTTCTGGGAGTCCCAAGGGGAATAGTTGCAGGTCTGCAAGCCCAGGACCAGACATCACCCTGGTCAGCCGCTCAGTAGTCTCCCTGGACTGCAGGGGGGACCTCTACTTCTGTTTGCCATTTACAATGGCAGGCTATTCACTGGCCGGCAACCATCTGAGCTGTGGCGTCTTTTCCTCTTTTCCACGTACTGAGACTTTTCTGGTTCTTGGTAGCTGAGTGCGCTTTGTGTCTTGTCTGTGGGGACCGTTAATGCTGAGACAGGTTTGAATCCTGTGGAAAATGTTGGTATTGTTTGTTTTAGCGGATTAAGGAGTCCTGGTGTTGCAGTGGTAAAAGCACTCAGCTGCTAACCGGAAGGCCGGCAGTTCAAATCCACCAGCCTCTCTCAAGGAGAAAGACTTAGTAGTTTGCTTCTGTAAGATGACGGCCTTGGAAACCTTCTGGGTCAGTTTTACTCTGTCCTGTAGGGTCGCTGTGAGTCATCGAATGGATGGCTGTTGTTATGTGCCGTCAAGTCGGCCCGACTCATAGCGACCCCTCCTTGGGTTTCCGAGGCAGCATCACCACAGGAGTAGATTGCCCCATCTTCCTTCCAAGGAGTGGCTGGTGGGTTTGAACTGCCAGCCTTCTGGTTAGCAGTCAAGTGCCTTAGGGTTGCCTCTTCCCATCTTTCCTCAATGCTGGGAAAAGCCGGTCGGGTCTTTCAAAACAGCACCTCCCATCCCCTTCTGCTCCCGGGCCTCCACTTGAGTAGACCGTGGAGCTCCCAGCCACATTTCACAGCCACCCTCCTTCCGTTTCCCATCTCACGTGTCACTTCTGGGGAGACCTTCCCACACAGGCCCACCGGCTTTGAACCCCTCCCGCGGGAGTTTGATCCGGGTGGTTTTTTTGTAACTGCTGGGCTCGCGGAGCGCAGTGAACGGCGTACGGGAGGCTTAGCGTTGTCCAGCTTCGTTGTCCGGGCGAGTCGGCCAACCCGTGTCCCAGGTGCTCCTTGCATAAAAGGAGATGAAGCGGCAGTCACGAGGGCGGAGGCGAGGACGGACACGTTGGCACCTGCGTGTGATGCGCGGCAGGGGCCGCCTCAGTGTTGCCCGTTACGTGGTTCAGTGTCGCTGCAGAAACGCCCCACTTCCCACGGCTCTGCTCTGGGGATTGGACTTGCCCCAGGGACTTGAGTTCTCTGCAAGGAAGGCGCCTGCTACGAGCCATCCCTCGTGTGGCCGGGGAGCGAGGGCAGCCTCTCGCCAGCTCAGGCGGGGGAGGACGCTTGTTTCCTAGTGGGCCCGAGGGCAGCCATCACCCGAGGGTCACCACTGTCCCGGCCTCAGGCAGGCCGGCCTCAGCTGCAGGCGGCCTGAGCCAGCGCAGTGCGGTTCTGGCCGGGCCCTCTGCAGGCCACTGGCTTCACCATCGGGGTGTCTGCTGCAGCCTTTAGGCCGACATCCATTTGTTCTGATCAGCGTTTCCCTTCACCTCGACCTGCTGCGTTTAGTGTCTTTCACAGCGTGTCTGTTTGCGAGGTCTGGGCAGGGCCTGGAAAAGCGAGGCCCTGCCTTGGCTGCCTCGTGCTGTGAGCAAACCCAGCTGGGGCCCCAGCTCCCCCAGACCTCCTCCTCGCCTGTGCACAAGGCATCCACCTGGGCTGCAGCGCCTGGAGGCTCTGACGAGAGCGCCCGGAGGGCAGAGAAGCTAGCACAGCCGTTGGCTAAGTGCCGTATTGAAAAATAAATTTATTTTTTATAAGATAAATGGTCTTATAAAAGGTTGGAAGCAATTTGAGACCCTGGATTCAGCTCATCTCATAAAAAGATTTGATTTCAAGTAGCACAGTTTTGCATCTGCCTTGAATCCTGAACAGTTTTGAACCGTGGAACAGCCAACTGTTGATGTAACACACTGGACACCTGGCCCAAGCACCTGGACACCCACAGCCTCAGCTCAGGGGCCGGAGGTGCTGCAGCCCACAACTCAGGGAGGCCCAGCTCGGGCCACCGGGGCCACCGGGACAGCAGAGGAAAGGCTCCAGCATCCCCGCCCTTCCCTCCACGGCACCTTCTGAAATGGAGAAGACACCAGCCAAGACCAGCCTGCCCTGAGGCAGGGGTCTGCGCCCCATCCCAGGAGCAAACCGGATGGAACTCCTGTGCGGCCACGTGCCGGCACCGCAGGGCAGGGGGCTTCCCTGGCGGCCCAGCCGGCCAAGGGGCCTGAGCAGGAGGGCCCTCCAGGGCCTCACCCGGCTGCCTGGCAGCTCGAGGGGAGGAGGGAAGGTGAGCAGAGGCTCCCGGGCGCAGCGGCTCCTGCCCGCGTCACCAGCAGCTACGTGATGACCCTGGCGATGGCCTGCAGGGAGGGGAAGTCATCGTCCCGGGCGGCGTGCAGTGCCTGGTGGCTGCTGACGTCCCCGTGCGCCAGCACCTGCTGACAGGTGGGGCACACACAGCAGTCCAAGCCCGCCGTCAGGGGGCTGCCCTGCCACACGCTCCTCCTGTTCTTCTTGGACCTGGCGCCCGGAGGCCTCTCTTGGCTGCAGAAGCCCGCGTGCGCCGCCAGCAGCTCCTGCTGCTTGGCCGTGTCGGGCAGGAGCGCCAGCAGCTCGCTGAAGATCCGCAGGAAGCTCTCCCCAAGCAGGTCCCGGCAGCTCTTGTAGTACCGGGCTGCGGAGATGAGGCCCTGTCCGCAGAGACCGAGCGAGCGCGAGCGACGTCAGGGCACATCCAGGCCCAGGGCGGGACTCCCCCAGCGGACGGCCCCTCACCCGCCGGAACTCCCCCAACGCACGGCCCCCTCACCCGCCGGAACTCCCCCAGTGCCCGGCCCCCTCACCTGCCGGAACTCCCCCGAGTGGGTCCTGAACTCGCTGAAGCGGGCCTCGTCACTCTGAAGGAAGTCCTTGATGGACTGGATCAGCGTCAGGTTCCGCTCCCGGAAGTTCTCGGGGACCAGGTAGGCCCGGGCTGGGGGAGGGGTCAGCCTGGGCCTGGGTCGAGGGAAGAGCACGGGGCGCTCAGCCTTCAGGGCAGCCCCAGGGGACGGGCCCTTGCCCGGCAGCCCCCACCCCACTTACGCTTTCGTGGTGGTGCTGGGCACGCAGGCCGGCTGGGGGCTGGGGACGAGGCCAGAGAAGCCAGGGGGTGGCTTGCTCACGGGTGGCACCAGCCCCGGTGGGGGTGTGGGCGGGGGCGGCACAGCCTTGAGCAGCACCACAGTGTTGAACCCTGTGACGGGGGCACACCGAGACCTGGGACGTGGCTCTTCCAGCCACAGCCGTTACCCTCCGCCCTGGGCCTGCCAGCTCCTGTCAGCCCTGCTGAGCTCCCCGTTAACCCTCGCAGCACCCCCAGGATGTGCGAGCCCTGAGCAAGGGCCGCGGCGCTGTGCAGGGTCAGGGGCTCCAGAAGGGACCACCGCACACATCCCTCACCCAGCCCTGTCCCCCAGCCCAGGACCCTTCTTTCCTGGCAGACGCACCTGGGGGAGGTGGCATCCTGGGCGGGCAGGGGCCGCCGAGTGCTGGAAAGTCTTCCTGGGGTGTGGGGCAGGGCAGGGGGCGCGGAAGCCCGGGGGGCTCCTTAGGGGCCCCATGAGCCAGGGCTGGCCCCTCCACGTGTCCATTGGTGACGACCCCGGCTGGAGCCGTAGGCACCTGCTCAGCCCCAGGTGGGCTATCTTTGTCGGGGGGCTTTGGGGTGCGGTCAGGGGGTGGGGGTGATGAGGTCTCAGGCTTCTCGGCGCCCACCTTCTTCTTCCGGCCGCCCTTGGAAGGCACGGGGGCCTCGGGCGAGCTGCGCAGCTCCTGTGAGGCCACCTCCTCCTCCTCTGGGGGGGGCTGGCCACCCTTGCGGCTGCCCTTACCACTGCCCTTCCCCGCCTTCCTGGTGGACTGGCCCCCACCAGCAGCCTGGGTCCCCACAGAGGGCCGTGCCACCTTCTTGCTGCTGTTCCAGGCGGAGATGATGTTGGTGGGGGCAGCGCTAGGCCGGGCTGCCGCAGACACCAGGGCGGGGAAGTCCTCCTCCCGGAAGGCACGCCTGCCCCCGGCAGGAACGGGATATGCCAGCGCCAGTCCCGCAGGGCCAGGGGCGGCCAGCGTGGGGCAGGAGGACAGGCTGGGGAAGTCCTCGTCCTTGAGCTCGAGCTTCGGCACCGGCAGGGGGCTGAGCCAGGAGCGGAGCATGAGCGACCCGCAGCCCCACCTGCCCTCCCTCTTCTCACAGGCACCTCGCCCACCCGTCCGCGGAGCACATGCCACACACCTTGGAGGCAGCAGCCCCACAGCTGGACCTGAAGACGGAAAGGCCTCTTGGCTCATGGGACCGTTCGCTGAGTTTTCCTTGGGGCCTGTGAGAGACAAAACCCTACACTGCAGCCTCTGTCGGGACCAGGGTGTGGTGTGGCCACGGGCACTCAGAGCCCCAGGCCATGCGAGATGGGCTCCGTCACCCTCACCAGGCGAGCCCCCACACCCACGGCCAGAGGACACCCCCCCAGCTCCCCAGCAGAGCCCCGGGCTGTTTACCTGGACCCTCGCCCTGGGTCCGGGGTGGGCGCCGGGCGCCCTGGGGCTCCTCGGACCCCTGCACCACCACCTCCTCCGTGGCCCGGCCACCACCCTCCTCACGGTCCTCGCTCCTGCGCTGCACTTCCTGCTGCTGTGTGGCCACTGAGGCCCGGATCGCCGCCGCCATGTCCCGGTCCTCCTCCTCCCTGGGGACAGGACACCGTTAGCCTGGGTGAGGCGAGCACCTGAGCCTGTGCTTGGGGCTGTGTCTGGGGTCCCCAAATCTGTGGGGCAGCATGTCACGCTACGACCGCAGCACCTCTCCCAGAACCAGGCCCTCCACCCCCCGGCTGCCTGGCTCTGTGCAAAAGTCTTGGCATCTCAACAGAGACTACACAGACGACAAGGAGCAAGGGCCAGGCCAGGGTGCCCTGGACCCCTTGCCCGTCCCCAGCCCAGCTGCCGGCCGCAGCCACCGCCTCAGCGTGCTGGTGCCAAGAGAAGGTCAGCGCGAGAAAGCCTCCCACCTCTTGTACCTCCAGCTACCGCGACGGCTCTGCTGGGCTCCACGCACTCCGGCCCGGCTCGCTCGGCCCTGGCGGTTGTACCTGTCCACCTCCTCGTAGTCCTCGCCCCCAACAACCCCTGTGGGCAGCAGACGGCCATCAGTGCCTGGACCATGGGCAACGGGCTTCCAGGGCCTGCCTACCACCCCAAGTCAGACCAAAACGGCACCCCCACAGCACGAGTCTGCGGCAAGAGGATGTGCACGGGGCCCTACCCAGAGCAGGTGCGCCTTCCCCGCTCCCTGACAGCTCTGCGGGCCCCAGAGCCTAACCCTGAGGGGCCTACGTAGCGGGAACACCGAGGCACAGCCAGTTCCTCCTCCGGCTGCTGTGACGGGCCCCACCCGGAGCAGGCCCTGCTCACCCTCACCCCGGCGTGGGTGCCGGGGAGTGTAGCTGAACTGTAGGTCAATCTGGCGGTTCTGGCGGGCCTCAGCGCGGCTGCGGCTGTGGCACGCGGTGCGGTGGGCCTTGAGGTCGATCTCTGTGCGGAAGGCGTGGGTGAACTGCTCCGTGCTGCAGCGGCCCTCCTCACACAGAAAGTGCTTCTCCCGGAAGTGCTCGCGCAGGTAGGTGTAGTCGCTGGCGGGGGTCAGGGTCTGGGGTCGGGGTCAGGCCTCTCCTCGTGCCCCTGCCCCACCCCCTCGTGCCCATGTGCCACCCCCACCTGTAGTAGTTGTGACCTCATCCACCCACTCATGCCCACGTGTGCGGCACCCCCACGTGCATGAGTCATGACCCCGCATGTCCCCTCATGCATGTGTGGTGCCCACACCTGTAGCAGTCGTGGCCCTGCGTACCCCCTCGTGCCCGCGTGCAGCACCCCCACCTGTAGCAGTCGTGACCCCACGTGACCCCTCGTGCATGTGTGCAGCACCCCCACCTGTAGTAGTTGTGACCTCACCCGCCCCCTCATGCCGTGTGCGGCACCCCCACCTGTAGCAGTTGTGCCCCCGCGTGCCCCCTCGTGCATGTGTGCTGCCCCCACCTGTAGTAGTCGTGACCCTGCCCCCGCGTGCCCGCGTGCGGCGCCCCCACCTGT